TATAGAATCATGCTCACCCCAAAGGTCTTTCAACTTGGAATAATACACAGAAACAGAGGAAACTCCTTGCGTTATAGTAGCAATTGCTTTATGCAAATGATATGCTCGAGAAGTGTTTACATTGTCGAATCGTTCCTTGAGATCCTTCCAAACCAACAAAGCATCAGAACGAAACAGGATTCCACTGAGTAGATCTGCATTCACATTGCTCATTAACCACGAAACCACAATTGCATTACACCTTTCCCACTGTTTTTGAAGTTCTCCTTCAAAATCCTTCTTCACAACAGATCCATCCACAAAACCTAGTTTATTTCTTCCTAAAAGTGCAACTTTCATTGCACGACTCCACAATGTGTAATTTTCCATCCCAATCAGCTGGATTCCTACAGATAGAGAACCTGGTGCATCTGAAGGATGTAAGTAAAGCGGATGTGTGTAATCGAGAGTTTGAGTCATGGAAATCACTCGATTAGCTGCTCCGTCTGAAGTATTGCTAGTTGATTCATCAATCGCCATTCGAACAATTTAGGGTTTACAAACGATCTTCTATAATTGACATAATCTGAACATGCATGGACTGAAATTCCTCGATCTTCACTTCAAATCCTGTGATAGATCTCTCAATTCAGTCACTATAAGCTCTGATACCATGTAAATTTCACTCAATTCAGTGAGATTGAGGAGAAATAATGATCGTCATTGTAGAAGAGAAAAGGAGAAGAAAGCAATGGAACAGAGAAATCTGATTCTATTAGAAAATGACGACTAACTACTATTACAAGTGGTCCCACTGTCTTTATACAACTAATTATCTAACTAACTACTAACTATGGTTTAGACTAACTAGCTTAAGTTAACTATACAATGGTGAACTATTAGTATCACTATTAGTATCCTTTACAGGATCACTGGCCATGCCACCTCTGGATTCCGGTTAATAACCCTTTTAGATCGAATTGTGTATGTTGTTAGAAATTTTTGGTTCTGTGCTCGTTGTTGATTTGACTATGTTTCTTATCTAACATGAATATTTGAGTTTTTATCTTTTGTTGCCTATGACCTTAATGGCTTAATTCAATAACTCTTAGGATTTTGTTTGGGACTTATAGATGGAGTACAAGTATTGGATTGGCTCGTGACCTCTGGCAATAGAATAGTTTAAACTGATGATGATATATTACTGTTACGTTGGTGAAAATTCAGTAGCTTGATCATAGTTTAAACTGAATTGGATTGGCTTGTGTCCTACTGTTCAGTTTCACTGTTACTTTTGGCAAATTTTATACAATTTAAAAGTGCCAAATAGTATTATACAATTTAAAAGTGCCAAATAAACATCGTTATCAAACTCTTTAATACTTTCGGCAGTATTATAATCATAGTATACATTCTGCCTATTTTACGCTGCAACTAATATTCTGTTACCTCAAAGAGTAGAGAACCACATTGATTTTTATTTTTATGTTTTAAGATTCACAATGAGCTAGCAAGATACTTAAAGTGAAGAAAAGAGACGTGTTAATAAATTTATCTAATCAAAAACGTATTGTGGTTGATTTTGACGACACGGATTCTCCCATTGGTGAAGGACAAGGCTTTCTTGCAGGCTTTTGTGGAATTTTAGCAGCTGACTGCTCCATTTTTTCAATCACTTTGAGTAATGGTCGGATTTACCTGTGACAACCTTCAACCGTTGTTACGATCGATTTATAAAGGTATTCCTGAGGCATAAAATATCTCTGTTTTATGTCATTAAATTGTATATTTGCATGTAATAATTATCTAATTGCATGTAATAATTATCTAACCCTTGGTTTATTCTTGAAGTCACGATTTTATTTTAGGACAACTGAGTCAAATACAAGACGATATGTTTATAATTCTATGCGTAAGAAGTGGGGCGCAAAAAGGCTAAAGTTGTTTGATAAGGTCTATGATCCACTTAAGAGCAGAGCTGAGATAATAGATGGTGTTCCACTGGAAATTCCATCGGATCAATGAATTTCTTATGTTGATTATCACTTTAAAGAAAAACCACAGGTATTTATTTCAATGCTTCAATTAGTATATGTAGTTATATGGCTTCACTTTAACCAATCTTCATCTCTACTAATATTTTCAAGCTTTTCCAACAATATCGACTTGACTTAAACTTAATTTTCAGATTCAAAATTCGAGATCACTTCTTTAAACTTGTAACAATGGTGAATAGTTGAAAATTTTAATTTGTTCTAGTTAGAATATTTCAGAACTGTTCTGATGATTTAATGTACAACCAACAGGCCACTACTATCAACTTTGTGCAATGAGACCTAACAGGTGAAGAACATAATGAAAATTGAAACTGAAAATAAACTTGTTCATTATAGCAAAGTACACAGCCCATGCTACATAAAATGAAAATAACTAGACATACTACTCCTATCTCTTTGATGAATCATAACAGTGTACCACATGTTAAATGCTTGCTTAATAACCGGAAAAAACACAAGCATTTATTTTAGTGCTTCAATTAGTATTCTGTAATTATATGGCTATTTGTCCGTATATTTAAATTTCTTGGTATCTTTTTGTAAGGAAACTTGTAAAAGAAATGCTGAAATTCGGAAGAAACAAACTGTTTCACATGTTGGTGGCTCCAAACGTAACTCCAGATGAAGGGCTAAAATGGTATTAGTTCATTTTGGATACTTTAATAATTAAACTAGCAACTATTCATAGTTAATTAAGTTAATGCGACTTTGACTTTTTCATTTGTAGATGGCTGACACTGGACAAAAGCCCGGACGAAAACAGCTTTATCTCGCTACACATAAGAATGAAGATGGATCATATGTTAATGAGGCGGCAAAAGAAATATGGGTAAGACAGCTTTTTATGGAGCCCCAGTAATTGCTATTAGTCTTTTTGGTTGATATATAACTCAACAAAGAATATGGTATTTTAGATATATACCTACATTTTTTGTCGAAATTAATGTGTTGATCTGTTGAACCACTACATTAGTCAGTTTGAAGAGTTCAGTGTCCTGGTGAAGCAAGACAACCACTGAATTTTTATCATGATCATCACTAAATACTAGTCAACATTGCCCTCAAATATTTTTTTAAAGGGATTGTGGTTCTTGTTGGGATAAAAAACAATATATCCCGCCCAGGACTAATATCGACAGCAAATAATAATAATACAAGAGAGTAACAACGATACCAACTCTTTTAATGGGGTAAAATACAATACTCGAGTGGAACAATATAACCATTATAATATTACAACTTGGTAGTGTTAAGAGACTACTACAATTTTGAAAGAAATAACACTCTTTATTTAAAGATACCTCACTACAATATTACTACCACTCACTATTTATCTCACGGACAACAATTTGTGGATTACACTCGCTGCTTTGCTTCTCTCGTTTTTTAGGTGACTTAAACTGAACGAATGAAGCTCATATTTATAGGCACATTTTCACCAACCCAACCAATCTGATTGGTTCATCAATTTGTAAAGTCCAGACATTTTATTTCAGCTGCCCTTATTGAAAAATTTTCAGCCACCCTAATTTGACTTCACCAACTTTTTTAACTTTTTCTTTATTTCCTTTTTTCCTTTTATGGGTCCTACAGTTGTGACAAGATGTCACTGGCGCCCAATTTACAAATATCTGATGTTACTGTCATTTAAGTACCACTGGATGGAATATTTTAGAGGAATATATACAACTTCTATTTCTTTTCTTCATTTGAGAGCCAAAAGCAATTCTTTTGCGAAATTGATGCATGCTACAAAGAAGTTATCCATTTTTTCTTGAAAACTTGAAATAAATTTAAGATTATTTTAGGGATTCATTTTATATTCTAAAATGTGTCCTAGTTATGAGGGTCCTACTTGACTGAAGCTAAGCAATTATTAGTTAGGATATTGGCGAACGTTATGGCGAACGTTTTTGGCCGCCGCAATATCTAAATAAAACCACTGCAAATTTAGCATTTTTTGTAGTGATTTAACGTGGTTCCGTCAATTGACCTGCATTCACCGCGCGCGGAGATGAGCAATCCACTATATAAAAGAGAGTATGAAAATATTGAGAGAACAACCTCACGAAAAGGCAAACACAAGTGACACACTAACACTTGTCTCTAAAAGTTTTCCTCCTAAACAAGACTCTCAAACCCCATATGGCTACATTGTAGATGCTCCTGAATGAGAAGGAAGGATTCGCAATTTATAGAGGTCCAAATCTTTTCCTACAAGAAATTAAAGGGACTAGCCAAATATGGAAGATTTATAATTTCCTTCCACAAGAAGAAAAATCCAATTATGATAAATATGTAACCCTTTCCTTCAAGAGATAGGAAAATCAAATACGGTGGATTGGGATGGGATCACATTGGGATCTAACAGGGACAACCAATGGGATCACATTATCTTCAGCTTTTTCTATGAATTTTTTTCTTCTTTTTTTTGCTACTGTTTTCTTTGTATTCACACTGATAATTATCACGAACTAGTTCTGATACATTCGATCACGAACTGTAAAAATTTATTTCCAACTGTGAATAGTTCCCGTTAAATTTTACAACCAGAGTTTGTTACTCTCCGTCCCATTTTATGTGAGACATTTTTTTAATCAGTCCCAAAAAGAAAGTCATCTTTTCTTATTTAGAAATAGTCTATCTTTAATATTTCTATTTTATTCTTAATTAATTGATTTACAGCCACGTAAATATTTATAGTTTATTTTAAACTACAAATTTCAAAAGTTTCTTTTTTGAATTTAGTGACAAATCAAACACCAACATATAAACGAGTTAAATGTATAAATAGTGCTCAGTTGTAACAAAGTTAAACTGAGTTGTTGTTGTCGTTGTTCTAACAAAGTTAAAGAAACTAATAAGACTATTTCAAATTTGGCGTTTAACCTTTTGTCACTTTCTACCTAACGTCAATGATCTAATTTTCAACTTGTTATCTCAAGTAGTTGGTTTGTTGAAAAGGGGAGAATTCATACACAAAAACAGAGAGCAGCAACGTAACCATTCCATATCTCATATTTTTCATCTTCAACATCAATTAAAAAGGTTTTATGTATATTTTATACATCAGATCTTGAGAAGTTGAAAGGAAAGGAAGGAATTACAATCATGGAAAGAGGGAAAGGAGAAAGCGAGAAAGGGAAAGCAATCAAATTATCGGTATGTCATGATACAATATTTATTACAACTAAAGTTGACAAAATAAATGGAATTTGAAGGAACCCTCTGTCGTTGATTATGTTATCTCTCAAAATTTATACACTAAAAACTCTAAAGATCTTTTTGATACTATTAGTAAATTTTAACTTATGATAGCAAATTATAAGTTACTAATTAATGTTTACTAATTAGATGCCCCTGATTATCATCTTTCTTTTTGGTTCCAATATGTTAATTTTTGAGGTTATGCCTCTTTTCCTCTCCCTAAATTAATCCTCTAACCTTTGAATCTTAGTATTTAGTGGGTAACAAAGAAATATAAAAAGTTGCAACATATTGCATGAAGAAGAGCGTTATTGTTTTATGATATTTTTATATATGAAAAATTAGTTTAAATATTTGTCACGTTTCTCCTTTTTATTTATGGACTAATTTATAAAATGATCACTTAATAACTCACTGGTAATTTTTTGTGACCATACCATAAAATTAACCAGTTCTCATATATGTTGTGATTATTTCCTCCTTTACTTGATCACCTCTACTTCCTTTACATCACTACATACTTACACACAAGCACGAATCCCTTTCTTAAAACTATTGACGTATGTTTATCTTCTAACACCTTAAATAGAGTGAATAACTTTAAATAGAATAATCATAAGAGATATTAAGAGAAAGGGATTGGAAAAAAAAAAATCAAAGCAAATCGCCTACAATGGTACCTTGCCTTCTCTTCTTTTACATGATTGTGCCTATATTCATTCTGATTTTTTTTCACCTCAAAATAATACTACCAATATAGGGATAAAATTAGATAACGGAGCCATTATATTGATTTGTTATGTATGTGAAGGGGAATCAAGTGAGTTATGATCAAGCGGACTCAATATTGGTGGAGCCATGGGGAGGCACTGGTGGATCAAAATGGGATTACAAGTTGAAAAGTCCCATTAAAGAAATATTGGTTGCTCATGGAGATATTATAGACTCCATCATATTCATAACTGTTACTGAACAAGGTACTACCATCGACTCACCAAAGTTTGGTGGGGGTGGAGGTCGAAAAGACAAGGTAAGTCCAAAAAAATTATGGTCGAAGGAACAACGTTCTTCTCAAGTTAAATTTGTGTCATGTCATAGCAATGAGCTTAAATTATATAAAAAAATTAATTATCAAGACAATTAAACCAGGTATAGCAGGTTATTCATTTATCTTAAAGCCTTCAAGTTACCTTATCAGGCTGTTGATATGAAAAATCACGTTATAGGTCAACTTAATATGATAGTGTCACAACTTTTTGCATTTCCGGTGTACACAATGTAAAATCTGTAGTTATATAAGCATCTTTCAAGTAAAAGATATGGATGCACCTATTGCTTCATATTTAAGTTTTCCCTTTCCTTTGCATTGACAGGATTCAACTAAGTGTCCAAATTTGCTTTAGGTCCAAAGATTTCAAATCCTAATATGACATTCTTGCATTTTTCTGAATTCTTGTCAAAATTCTCGACTCTGCTACTTATTTAACTAATTTGTGATTTGCAATAACCTCAGGTAGTTATTGAGGCAACTCCATTGGAATATTTAACAGGTATCAAGGGAACATTTGGACATTGTGGCAGCCATTTGGTTATAAAATCTCTATGTTTTATAACTAATGCAAAGAATTATGGACCATTTGGGCCTGAGGCTGGTGGAACCCCATTTTCACTTGTGATGAAAGAAGGTGTAGCTATTGTGGGATTTCATGGGCGTTATGGAGCGTATCTTGATGCTATTGGTGTTTATTTGCAAAAACTTGCTCCTCCCAATTCAGCAAAGGAACCTATGGTTGAAGACATTGAAATTCGTGACGTATGTTGTGATTATTCCCTCATTCTCTTAATCACCTCATCCGTTTCTTCACCTCATACTTTAGAAATGAACCTGAAGCAAAAAAAAAAATAAGGCAAATGAACCATTATAAATTAGTATTTTTTGGTACAAATACCGAGTACAAGTAAGTTTTTGCTATCAGAGATACGTGCATTCACTATTTTGTAACAAAGAATAGGAACTTATTGATAGAATTATCAACTTCTTGTTGTAAGAATTTAAAAAAAAAAACAACTAAACATTATAAAGCTTATCAATCCTGGTTAGTTATGATTTTCAAGAGGTTGTGTTTATATGTTTGGCAGTTACTTCTATTCATCTCTTCCTCGGAATGGTTAGAATAAATCTTCACTAAATCGTCCATCCTTCTTTTTAGTGCATAATCTAGTAAATTGGGGTGGGGGGGGGGGGGGACACACCACCTGAACATATTCTTTTAATGCAGTTGAACATATGCATAGTAAACCATTTTCTTGATATGCTTATTTTGGATACATAACCAGTTGCTCAAACTCTAAGAACATAATATATAGAGAATTAATTGTCTTTCTTTGTGATAATTTGATATAATGTTTGGTCTTTTGGCAGGTCTCATTTTCTACCCTTCGCAAGGACTCTCTCAATGTTCTAGATTTCATAGAGAGCTTAAAGAATGAAGAAATTCAAGAAGCTGTTGACATGGATCTAACTAATAAGCTGATATTGGAGCTAGACTTCCTTATTCTAAATCTCCATCATCTTTCCAAGTATTGTGTTGAAGAACTTTCTCCATTCATGACCGAATATGAGATTCTTCATAATGTATGTGGCAACATAAGAGATTTCCACGAGTTGATAGTGAATGGTTGTGTTGGGCATGAGATTGTTGAATATGTCTTACCTCAGTTTCAACTAATGGCTGAAAGAGTAGGACGCTTCCTATGGCATAATCAAATTTGTGGACACTCTCGACTCTTCAAGCTAGCACATCTATTCGTGGAGGTTATTCCAACTCAGTTGGAGGTTATGCACATATGTCTTACAAATTTGAAAGATTCAACATCAGCAGAAGTTGGACGCTTTATTAAGCAGCTCCTAGAAACCTCTCCGGACATTCTTAGAGAATATCTGATTCATCTACAAGAGCACATGATAAATGTTATTACCGCTAGCACTCAAGGGGCTCGAAACATCCATATCATGATAGAGTTCCTATTAATCATTCTCACTGATGTGCCTAAGGACTTTATTCATAATGACAAGTTGTTTGAATTCCTAGCACGTGTTGGAGCACTTACTAGGGACGTATCAGCTATTGCTCGCGACTTAGAAGAGAAATCAAAGAATGCAGAGAGTACCAATGAAACAAATAGTGCAACTCTAGGCTTGCTCGAAAATATTGAACTCCTGAAGAGAGAACTCAAAGATGTTTACCTGAAAGCCCCGGACTCATCTCAACTATGCTTTCCCATGAGTGATAGACCCCTATTCATGCATCTTCTACTTAGACACTTAAATGATTTGCTCAATTCCGATGCTTATTTAGTTGCTTTGATAAAGGAAGAAATCAGGCTGGTGAAAGAAGATCTAGAATTTATTAGATCTTTCTTCGGGAATGTTGAGCAAGAATTATATAAAGATCTATGGGCGCGTGTTTTAGATGTGGCATACGAGACAAAAGATGTCATTAATTCAATTATTGTAAGAGAGAATGGTCTCTTACATCTTATTTTCTCACTTCCCTTTGCTATAGAAAAGATCAATCTTATCAAAGAAGGGGTCTCAAATATATTTGAGAAGATTCCCAAGAACATGGGCGTCATTGTTGTAAACTCTCCCAACAAGCCAGTTGAGCGCAAGTCATCAATAGCTGGTAAAATAATCGTAGGTTTTAAAGAGGAGACACACTTGATAATTAGGAAGCTCACCAGTGGACCAAAAACGCTAGATGTCATTTCGATCACTGGTATGCCGGGTGCCGGTAAAACTACTTTGGCATACGAAGTGTATAATAATAAGTCAGTTTTTGGTCATTTTGACATCCGTGCTTGGTGTACAGTTGATCAAAAGTATGACGAGATGGAGTTGCTGAAAAAACTTTTTAATCAAGTTGTTGGCTCATCTTCGAAATTCGGTAAGAATGTTGATGTTTTTAATCAGCTACGGAAAAATCTGTTTGGAAAGAGGTACCTTATAGTCTTAGATGATTTGTGGGACACTGCAGCATGGGAAGAGTTGACAAGACCTTTTCCTGAAGTTGAGAATGGAAGTCGAATTATTTTGACGACTCGAGAAAAGAAAGTGGCTATGCATGCACAACGCCACAGTGATCCTCTTGACCTTCGATGGCTAAGACCGGAAGAAAGTTGGGAGTTATTAGAGAAAAAGGTCTTTGGAAAAGAAAGTTGCCCTAGTGAACTACTGGATGTTGGAAAAGAAATAGTCCGAAATTGTAAACGGCTTCCTTTGGTGGTTGATTTGATTGCTGGAGTCATTGTAGGGAAGGAAAAGAAAAGGAGTGTGTGGCTTGAAGTTCGAAATAATTTGAATTCCTTCATTTTCCAGAAAGAAGAGAACGTGATGAATGTTATAGCATTAAGTTATGACCATTTACCTGATCCCTTAAAGTTGTGCTTACTTTACTTTGCAAGTTTTGAGAAGGACAGAGCAATTCCAGTAGAAGTTTTGAAAAGATTGTGGCGTGCCGAAGGATTTGCGGAACACACAGAGATGAACAGTGTGGAAGAAGTGATGGATGTTTATTTGGATAATTTAATTTCCAGTAGCTTGGTTATTTCTTTCAAGGAGATAGGTAAAGACCGGACTTGCCAAATTCATGATCTTGTGCATGACTTTTGTTTGATAAAAGCAAGAGAGGAAAAGTTGTTTGATAGTACAAGTTCAAGTGCTCCATCATCATCTTCTTCAGATCCAATGCCACGTCAAATGGCCATTAGATGTAGCAAGGGGCATAAAAATTTTATCCTGTTCGATTCAAAAAATAAAAGGCATTTTGGTTATAAACACCTCTATTCTTTGAGGATAACTGACTACATATATCATGACAAAAGTCTTCATGATATATGTCACCTAAGACACTTGAGGCTTCTTAGAGTGTTGCAACTGGATGACTCTTTTATTCTGGTGAATGATTCTTTGTTGAATGAAATATGCACACTGGTTCATTTGAGGTACTTAGAGATTCGTACAGAAGTTAAATCTCTGCCTTCGTCGTTTTCAAATCTCTTAAATCTGGAAACTCTGTGGGTGAATAAATATGGACCACCCATGGTAATATTACCAACAATTTGGAATCTTGTAAAGCTGCGAGTGCTAGGCATAGATGATTGTTCTTTCTTTGATTTGGTCCATTTGGATAAGAATGAGCCAATACTGATAGCAGAGGACTCAAAGTCAGAGAACTTGAGATTAATACAGGGACTCAAACTTTCCTATTCAAAAGACACAGAGGATATTTTCAAAAGGTTTCCCAATCTTCAAGAGCTTAGATTTAATCTCAAGGAATCATGGGATTGTTCAACAGGGCGATATTGGTTGCCGAAATTGGACTTCGTAAATGAACTACAATCTCTCAAAGTAACTTTTGAAAGAGGCCGATTTGCCCCCTCTGTAGCGGCAAATCGGCCATTGTGGGATTTTAATTTCCCTTCGAGTTTGAAAGATCTGTGGTTGCGCCAGTTTCCTTTGACATCCGGTTTACTATCAACAATAGCGAAACTGCCCAAGCTTGAAGATCTGTACCTTGAAGACGCAATCATCGAGGGGGAAGGATGGAACATGGGGGAGGAAGACACCTTCCAGAATCTCAAATGTCTGACGTTGCAGCGAGTGACTCTTGCTACGTGGGAGGTTAGAGAGGAATCTTTTCCTGCGCTTGAGAAATTACGACTGCGGCACTGTCGTAAGCTTGAGGAGATTCCGCCTATTTTCGGGGATATTTGTTCATTAAAAAGTATCGAACTGAGGTGGAGCCCTCAACTTGAAGAATCTGCTCTGAAGATTAAGCAAGATGTTGAAGATATGATGGGAGAAGACAGGATTCAGGTCCTTATTTATAAGTATTGAGCACTTTTACCCTGGGAAAATATGTGAGTATAGACGAACTTATTGCCTCCTTCATTTCATTATATGTGGCAGAGTTTGACCAGTGTAATTTTCTTTTGCAGAATGCATATAAGGAATACTTCTAATGCATTCTCCCAGCTATTTCCGTTCTTCTTTTCTTCATTTTGTGGGTAAATATACTCCAACATTTGTTCTTTCAAATTTTTGTTCTTGTATACTCTCTTTTCTTCTTCGGCGTGGCTTGAATTGTTTGCATATAAGATGTTACTCCTCAAGTCCAGAAGAATATATATCTTTCAAATTGGTAGGCATTGGAGCAATGATGGAATAATGCTTTAGGAAGTGGAATATTTGGAGGATAGCAAGAAGTGAGTGAAACAAAAGGTGGGCAACCTCTGTACTATATGAATGTTATCTTATATCTCAGCTTTTTCAAGTTTTTATATATCTTTCAACAAATACCGTCACAATCAGCACATCGACGCATAGAGTTTTAATTGTTATGCAGGCTGGTGAAATTCACGCGCACCAAGAATCAGCCCATTGATGCATATGATGGGGGAATATTCAGGTCAAGATGTTTCCATAGGTGCTGCAATGGTAAGTGTTGTATTAAAAATCCTCCAGTGCCTATTAATTAATACATCAATGCATGATATCCCATCGCAAACTTCAGAAAAATGTACTAATCCTAATGTGAGTAAAGATGCAGTATTTCAGTCCAGCAGGAACGCCACTAAGAAAAAATTCGAGTACTATACCGCTACTGAAATTTTATTCGAAATGTACAAGAGCCACTAAGCTATCACCTCCTTGACTGATATACATTGTGCTTTCAATACCTTCTGCAGACTGAACATGGCTATCACTTCTGTTCCTCTGTCATGAATCTCCAAGGCCTCCATTGTTGATTTTGATGGCGCAAGCTATTGAAAAAAGTATTACAAGGGCATGGGAATAATGCTTTAGGAAGTGGCATTACGAATATGCAAAGCAGTGTAAGCCTATCTCCTTCAAACACTGAGAGATACTATCATTTTACTCCTCTTTTTGTGAAACAACAAACAAGAAGCTCACACTTTCATCCCTCCCAAATCGACAATGCCTTGATTGTTGTTCAACAGCCCGGTTCAACTGCTGCACTAGTTTTGATGATGCTAAGCTTCGATAGCACTCTGTCACAGACTCGCCAACTTTGCCTGCAAAAGCTAACTCATGTGTGAAAAGTTGTGAACTGCTTGTAAACTGTCCAGAAATCTCTCTCCAATGTAGGCTACTTGGGAATTCAACTTGGGTTGAAGCCATGTTTTCTTTCTTTTTCGCTATGGCATCTTTTTTCATATTTCCTGTTCCTTTGAAAAATTATGAAAAAGCTTAAGAAATATTTACAAACTACACTACAATAAATATTTTCATGTACTAAATATATTTAAAACTTCTGTACATAGTGTCGGGTTACTTTGGTTTCGGTTTGACTTTTTTTAGTTAAAACCAAACTAAACCAAATATCGTCGGGTTTATTTTTCCAATACCATACCAACCAAACTAAACCATAGTCGGGTTTTTTTTCTCGGTTTGACTCGGATTATCGGGCTGGTGCGGTTTGTTAACCATCTCTGTCACCTCCTTCATAGATTGTGCTTTGAATATATTCAACAGACTGAATATGGCTATTACCTCTTTCACTGATGAGCATACTAGTACTCTTGTTCCTCCATCAAGAATCTTTCAAGGCCTTCATCGTTGATTCTCACAATTTTATGCCAAAGTTGATGCCACTAGCTACTAAAAAGTATTGAATTTTTCCAGGGTAATGGAGGTGTTGATTAGACTCCCTTTTTAATCTTTAGTGTTTTTTAACCGTGGTTTCTTTTATGTAGGTGGCAACTTCAAGTCCTTACACAAGTATTGGATCGATGAGTTCAATGACGAGAAGTTTGTTCAAAAATACATTTTGATTGAAGGTGAAAAAATACTCATTGGTTATCCATTTTTTAAATAGATAATATGGTTCTTATCCATATTTGACCAGTTTTTAAAAAGTTCATTATCCAACCCATTTTTTAATGGATAATATGGGTGGTTAACTGTTTTCTTTTAACCGTTTTGCCACCCTACTCGGGACTTTGCTGTAGTGGCTATTCTCTTGCTATGTTAGCTGTGAAACAACAGACAAGAGGCTCTACTGATGAAATGGTGCTGTTTAGCTACTAATTATTAATTTGTAGGACTTGTATGGTTAAACATTAGTTGTAACTCTTTTTGAAAACTAATGTGTATCAAGTCTTTACTTTTGAGAAAATCTCAAGGATGTCATGGTCCTTACAACATTATGCAAATGGAATTCTATCAGTTGAACTTTTAGTATCTGCTAGTTATAGGCTGTTTTCAAGAAGTTAATTTGGTGTCATTACACTACATTGGTTTTAGGGGTCGTTTGGTACGCGGGATAAGGTGGATATATACCGTCAATAAAATATAGTATAAATTTAATCTCAGACTTAGTTCTGGATATCCTACCTTATCCCATCAAACTTGGGATTATTTTACACATCTCTCGGGTGGAATAAATTAGTCCAGGGATCATAATCGCAGAACTATAAACAACAGAGAAAATAGTTTAATTAACCGATTAAAGTAGGTTATCTATTTCTCATCGTTTAATATACAAGACTAGGTGAAGTTAATTTTAAATAACTTGATTTTATACTGTTAGTGGATAAATATCATCCGTTAATTAGTTGGAACTTCTATTTTTAGTGTTAAGATCCAGGTTTTTCGTGCTTATATTTGTGATAAGAATTGAAGTCATTTGTGTTGGCGAATCCCTTTTACTGTATACGGTCGAGCTGGCTTGGCTGGTACATCAAGCATATCGGCATATTACTTGTTCGGTGTGATGCTTAAGCCTAACTCTTTTCGAGACAGCACCAACCAATTCTCCAAACCTGTAAAGCTCAACCTCTTTAATTATGTAATATTTAAATTGTTTTGGAAAAATAACCAAAAATTGTAGTGGAATGGCTAGGATCCATCTAACTTAAATATCTGGTATTCGAACATTGTAACAAAAAATATCCCGACAAGAAGCACTTTTCTCTTTAATAATCATTGCGTGGTATATATTCGAATTAATGGGAGTCCCAAATACTAGTTGAAAAAAGAAAGAAAAATTGTTCTGGGGGAGTGGGGACAGAATGATGAAACAAAAGTGACAGTAAGACAACTTGAATGATTTCATTAATCCCCTAAAGATTGTTAAACTGAAGATAAGGCAATTTGGCAACGACAGATCCATTTAACAAACAAATCCATTCTCTATGTGTTAGTTTTTTGGTAAAACTATTAATCAGTGTTGCGGTTAGACAGTTTTTGTCATCTTTGCTACATACTCATAACAGTAAAAATAGCACAGGCTAGCCAGTTTTCGGATTGGTAATTAAAAAATAGTCAGCATTTACAAAGTCATCGAAAAATAGCCACTATTTTGCTGCAACAGAAAAGTTCCAGCATAATATACTGGAGATTGGTGCACCTGTGTATGAACTAGCATAATATACTGGAGATTTGTGCATGAACCTCCGGCATATTATGCTGGAATATTTTTCGGATTTGGAATAATATTTTCGTTCATATTTATCTTTACCTGAAAAGTGGCAAAATTTCGATTACTTTTGAAACTGTGGCTATTTTTCAATTATCACTTGTAAATCTAGCTATTTTTGAATTTCACCCCTCATAACAAGCTCCCATAACACAGGGCTATTTTCACGTCATCATTTTTTTATTTTTAAATTAAATATTGATGTATGTTCCCATAGGGGGAGCAACGAAAGTTGTCTCCGTATGATCTACATGATATGGATTGGAATTAGCCATTGATGCTTGCATCAGCATAGACTGCCTATATTGCACCCCGTGGGATGCGGCCCTTCCCCGCCCCTGCGTAAACACAGAATACTTTGTGCACACAATCAATCAAAGAAAGCTAAATTAAACACACCTCATATCGCCGAGACTTGTAACCTAAGAGGTTGTTTTGGCTAAATTGTGGGGATAGATAACCAAACATGCAATAAATACAATCTTAAATTATATTCTATTCGGAATTATATTCTATACGGGTAACTAAATGACTATAAAGAGTCGTTTGATATGATGTATTAGGAAAAATAATACATGTAATAGCTTTGATATTATTAATCTCTTGTTTGGTAGTATTTTATAGGGAAAATTTCACATAAGAACAACTGGATCCCTACTTTTCAATTTTATAGCTCATATTTCAATTTACAACCAACAAGCCCAAAAATAATAGGTTAAGATTCAACATCCAACTCCAATAGGTTCTCAAAATTACTATTTAATTTTTTAAAAAGATTGCTCAAGCATTTAAATTAATTTTCGAATCAGTAACTGTAACCCAAATATCAGTTCAACAAACAAAATTCATTTGGATGGTGAAAATTAGAATTTTAACAAGCTTAAATATGTAGGTTTAGATTTCGAATTTGATTTTGTGAGAAATTTGGAGTGGGTATTATCTAGAATTGTTAGAAATAGTATAAGGAGGTTGTATATAAAATTTGAAGTCATTTAATGGAGATTTGAACTGATTTGAACAAGAATTGCAACTGATAATCGTGGAAGAAGTTCGTCTACAGACGTTTGTATAAAGGTGTATAAAAGCGTATAATGTTGTATAAGATGTGTTTATACACTCATATTGTAACGACCTGACCCGTCGTTACGGGAGTTACCGCCCGTTTTCCCCGTTTTATGCTTCTATATGTTTCATTATATGTGTTTGGAGAATTTGAAGTAATTCGGATAGAGTTCGGTTAGAAATGAGACAATAAGTCTCTTTATGAGAAGGATTGTTTGGAAAAGTCAACCGAATGTGACTTATGAGTTAGAAGGCTCGGAATGGATTTCCGATGATTCGACCAGTTTCGGGAGATGATTTGTGACTTAGGAGCGCAATCGGAATTGAATTTGGAGGTCCGGTGTAGAATTAGGCTTGAATTGGCTAAGGTTGGATTTTGGCGAATTCCGGATGGTAGGTGAGATTTTGATCCGAGGGTTGGAATGGAATTCCGAGAGTTGCAGTAGCTCCGTTAGGTGATTTTGGATATGCGTGCAAAGTTTCAGATCATTCGGAGGTGTTTAGGTCGGGTTTTAGATCAAATGCAAGTTTCAGAAGTTTTAGTTTAGCTTAGGCTTGAATCCGTGGTAATTCGATGATTTTGATGTTTATGATAGTGTTTTTATGTTACGAGCAAGTTTGAATGAAGTAATAGAACATATCTGTGCGTTTGGTTGAGGTCCCGAGGGCCCCGGGGTGATTTCGGATGGCTAACGGGTAATTTTGAACATGAAAGTGCAGCAGAAAATTTCAGAGGAATTTTACTCTATGCGATCGCGTAGGTCTGGAAGCGATCGCGTAGAAGGCCTGGAGGGGGTGCTCAGACTTGCTCTATGCGATCGCATGAGGAGGTCTGCGATCGCATAGATATGGGGGATGGTTCAGTGCGGTCGCGTGGGTGCGTATGCGATCGCGTAGTAGGAGGACGCAGTGCTTTGCGATCGCAAGGAGTCTTCTGCGATCGCGTAAGAGGAATTCGAGGGCCTGGATTTTTGGCCTATGCGATCGCAGGGGTAGTGATGCGATCGCATAGGGGTCGCTACAGTAGTCGGACAGAATGTTTTAAAACCCTTTGGTCCGCGACCCACATTATTTTTCCACCATTTTTACTCCGCCAAGAGAGCTTTTTGAGCGATTTGAAGAGGGTTTTCAATGGGTATTGATTTGAGGTAAGTCTCTTGACTAGAAAACACCATTTTATGGAAGAATCAACACTCAAATTCATGAAAGTGGGTAGAAATTGTGAAGAACTAGGGCTTGGTTTTCGAAAACGAAATTTTAGGATTTGAAAGGCCATTTGAGCTCCGTTTTCGGTAAACTTTATATGTACGGACTCGTGGCGAGACGAGGAATCCGTTGGTGTGATTTTCGAAATTTTTCGAGAAGTGGGCCCGGGGCTCGGGTTTTACCAACTTCGTGAATTTTAGTAATTTTTGAGTATTTTTGATTGGGTTATGTTTCTTTAACCCATATTTATGTATTCGTTGTGATTTTGACTAGATTCGACGCGCGAGGAGGTCGATACGAAAGGAAAAGGCATTGCGGACCATTCTACGGCCGGTTAGAGGTGAGTAGTTGGTGTATATGATGGCCTGAGGATTTGAAACCCCGGCTTATCACATTGTGACGCTATTGTAGGACGTGACTCGCACCCCATGGCAGGGCGGGATTGGTTGTGACTGGGATTGAGGGTTAGTCCATCCCGAACAAGAATATTTCTATATTGGCGACTGATACGCACCCTGTATTGAATATATCTGGGCTTATTGCCGTGTTTAGGGCCTTGTGCAGATCTGTAGCATCCTTAGAGGATGATTGTCATTGTGATAGCATGCTTTATATAATCATTGATCTCAGTCCTGTGTTTAATCACTGTTATAAAACGCTAAGTCACTTTTCCTGAAGTTAAATATCTAAAGTATATTCTTCTTAATAAATTGGAAATTGGGAAATTAATTGAATCTGTTACGTGACTCATATGCATATTGTGGACTGAGTATGGATCGGGCTGCACGCCGCAGCGAATCGTATGATTATATTGCGCTTGGGCTGAAGGAGCCCCTCCGGAGTCTGTACACACCCCCAGTGAGCGCCGTCGACGTTAAATGGATCGGGCTATGCTCCGTAGCGGTCATGTGCATTGCATTGCATCTTTACATTATAAATGACTGATATATTTGAAGTTGTTTTGCTGTTAGTTCGTAGTTAGGTGTTGGACTGTTAGTTTTAGCTTTACATTGTGGCATTTCGTGGATTTCTTATCTCCAGACATTTTATATGCCTATTACTCACTGAGTCGGTAGTATTCACCCCTACTCCCTGCACCTTGTGTGCAGATTCAGGTACACCGGAGGCTTAGCTGAGCAGTCTTTGTTTCCCAGAGCTTATCAGAGTTGTTGAGGTAGCTGTTTGACGTTCGCAGGACCTGACTACTCTTCCTATTTCAGTTTTATTTAAATATACATTTCCAGACTTGAGTATTTTCGTTCAGATATTGTTAATCAGATTGTTTTAGAGGCTCTAGACTCGTGACCCCAGGTCTTTGGGAGCGTTTTTATCAGACTTCGTGTTTTTCTCAGTATTATTCTATTATAAATATTGGATTATTATTCTAAAATCATTATAATCTCTTTAGATTGTCGGTTTGAGGTTTACGG